TGATGATGTCAAATTTGTCCTCTGTTCCTTCCCTGTTCTTGCAGCTCCACAATGGGATCGTCCTTTTGACCTGCATGTGGATGCAAGTGATGTAGGTGCAGGTGCGGTCTTATTTCAGCAAGATGATGATGGAGTTGATCGACCTGTGAGTTTCTACTCTAAAAAATTCAACCATTTTCAGGTGAACTATTCTGTCATTGAAAAAGAGACATTGGCACTAATTTGGGCTTTACAGCATTTTGAAATATATTTGGATTCTGGTAGTGTTCCTCTGGTGGTCTATACTGATCACAATCCCTTAACATTTTTGCATTCATTGCAGTGTCCAAATCGCAGATTGATGCGATGGATGTTGTTTTTGCAGCCCTATTGTCTGGATATCCGCCATATTAGGGGCTCGGATAATATTGTGGCAGATGCTTTGTCCAGGGCACCATGTGTTTAGGTTTGATGTTCAGTCCCCTTTTCTCCAAGTTTCTTATAGGCTTTTCCAGTGGCTAGGGTGGCTGAGCTATTGAGGTGGGGATTGAATGGGTGACTGTGGTAAGACTGCAAAGTCCATTAGTATTGCAATTGTCACCTAGTTGTTAGTCTAAATCGCTGTGTCTTTGGGAGTTCCTGTTAGGACTCCACTTGTATGGGGGGGAGTGTGACGATCCCCTCCTGCCCAGTAGGTGTCTCTAGTCCTCTACATGTTTGTTCTTGTTTTTTTTTCCAGGAAGCAGGTAGATGGACTGGTAATTGCACACACCGGTAGAGGATAAAAGTGGACGACTAGCCAGTCACGGTCTGCTTGTTTGCCCTCCGGACCCGTCCGGAACGAGCAGCATTGGTCCGCACTTCTCTCTGACTGGCTGGCCTGATCTCACAGAGCGCATTTTTGTTATCAAATAAATTATTGTTTCTATAGATCCGCTCGTCTGTCTCCCTTTTTGTCCTCGCCTTCGAGATGGGCGTGACAAATGGGGGCTCGTCCGGGCAAATTTGTTAAAACCCTATTACACTCGGGAGTCACAGGTATCCAGCAAAGA